AATTACTATTGAAAATGGTGACTCACCGACGCTGACTGACATTAAAAGACTAGGTTGGGACGAGTTTAAATATGAACTCGAGCTTAACCAAGAAAGCAAATATGAAGAACAAATCGATGAAATAGATTATAGTCCCAATCATGAATTTTTTGTAACTCATTGTAGAAAAGGCAGAATCATCATTTTATGGAAAGTTAGGGGAAAACATTTAAGTTGTTCTAAAATTTATAAGTATAGTAAGGAATTTGTCAAATCTAAGCTTTCTATCAATGAAATTTCTGATAAAGACAAATCCGATAATCCTAAAGACAAACCCAAGGTTTATATCAATGAAATTTCTAATAATCAATGTGTAGTTATACAAAGTGAATATTGCTGTAAGTAATTAATTTACTTTAATTTTTTAAAAAAATAAACTCTTAAAAACAATTTTAATATTTTTTTTCAGTATTGTTCAATCTGGAAAAAGGAAAAATCATCGAGTATCCTAAGAAGATTGGAAACAAAATCAAAAAAGATAACGAAGGAAAAGGTTCGCGTTTTGAAAAAAAAAAAGACAACGAAAAAGACAAAAAAGAAAAGGACACAAGAGTTATTTTCCAGAAAAATAGCGAGTCAAAAGAAACCCCTAAATTAATGATGTTGAGAAGAAGCAATAAAGATGAAAAAAAATATAAAATATATTCCATGGAATATAACAGCAATGCCGATGACCATTTAGAACTTCTCGATACACATAATATTTATAGTGATGAAACCCCAAAGATTTATTACGATGACAATCATTTTCTTGCTGCTGCTAGTCATTCATTGATATCGGAATGGAATTATTGCTATAAAGGTTACAATTACAAACAAAATTATTACTTAAAATATAATGATTATATTGTTCTTAATAAACAAAATAAGGCGGAAGAAGCTTTGATGGTGGCTGATTATCGTCGAAATTCAAAGCTAGTAGTCTACTCATTAGAGCGTAATATAACAGTTTCATCATGTGAGTAGTTATTATATACAGTACATAATTAATATTATTCTCTTTATTTATAATAATAATTCTTATTTTAAATATAAATCCATTTATAGTCGAATTTAAGGAAGAAGTTCATATTAAAAAAGTAGATTTCGTTTATGTGGACAACGGCACATTTGGATGTCAGGTAACAGAAAAAGATTTATCAGACTTGGAAAATGATGAACATAAAATCAATAATATTTCGGAAAAATATTGGAAATCAGAATATTTAGCAAAATTGAAAGATAAAAAAGATAAAATCAAAAAAAAAATCAACAATTTGAATCAAAAAGAAAAAGATTATCTAACAAAATTAGAAAATGAAATCAAAAGAATTAATAACATTTTAAATTCATGAAACTGATGCTAATACCTAAACTCTAAACTTTTTGCTAAATTGGATGATCTGATAAGATGATAAGAATTACAATTTTGGTAAGAACTATATTTTTAGTATGTTTGGCCAATCATTAATAACAACCTTTTGATTTTAAAAACAAAACAAAATCTATTTCCTTTATTTAATATTAAAAATTAAGCAAATCGGAATTCGCATCCGAATACAATTATTCGATTTTGATTTTTTTGAATTCATCTAATAATTCCTTAAAATTACTATTCACGTTTTTTTTTTCGATTTATTCAAATTTCTTTTTGATTTGATTCGCACACCACCATTTAACAATTTCTTCATACTTTTTTCAATTTCTTCAATTTTCTCTTTGACTTGATCCTGATTCAACAATTCAAACCTATTATTGATATTTTCTTCGACTTTTTCAATTTTATCTATGACTTGGTCCTAATCGCATTTTTCAGGAGCTTCAACAAGGTCTCTGACTTTCTCAGAAATAAACGTTTCGTGTTCTGAATCATCAATTTCTTTAATTTTTTTCTGAATATCTTCAATTGGAACTGAATAACATCTAATAAAACAAAAAAATTAAATTATTTTTCAAGAAAATTTAAAGATAAATTATATTTATATATAAATTTGTACTATATTTACAAAATATCTGGGAACCAATCTCTCCATCTCCGTTGATTGGGAAATAAATAAAATAATTCAATCTCTCTGATAACCTTTGCTCTCTCAGCCAAGAATGCTTCTTCTGTATTATTTTTTTCAATTTCATTACTAAGCAAGCCAATAAATAAATTCATCAAATATACAACTACTATGAATGAAAATGT